TCTGTATCTAGCAGTTTGTCTACGTGAGCATTTCACATAAATGGAATCATAGAGTATGTTACCTTTTGTGAATGACTTCTTCCGCTTAACATGATTTCAGGGCTCATCTATGCTTCAAACTTACCATACTCCATTCTTTTTCATGGCCTAATAATATCCCATGGCATGAATATATGACACTATGACCATTTCAGTTGATAGACATTTGGGTAGTTTTCACTTTTGGGTTATTCTGAAAAATGTTGCTATGAATATTTGTGTGTAGGATTTTTAGCTCTCTTAGGCATTTATCTACGAGGAGAATTGTTGAATCATATTTGAATCTGCATTTAAGTTTTTGAAGAACTGTGTAACTCTTTTCCAAAGTGGTCACATTTTACAATAGGGCTCTAATTCCCATATATTTTCACAACAATTGTAACTGTCTTTTTGATTCTAGCCATTTTAGTGGATGTGAAATATCTTCTTGAGACTTCCATTTATGTTTCCCTAAAAACTGATGACACTATGTACTTATTTGCTTATTGGACATTTGTACATTTTCTTGTGAAATGTCTATTCATGCACTTCACTCATTTTCAAATTGAGTTTTTATTGTTGATTTGTAAGAATTCTTTGTGCATTCTTATTCAAGACCTACTCTGATATATGACTTACAAGTATTTCCTCTATATGGGTAAACTTTTCATTTTATTGCTGTGTCATTTGAAGGGAAGAGAGTTTTAAATTTCCATGTCTGATGTGCTATGTGTGTTATATCTGAGAACAAAACATAGGTCATGAAAATTTTCTTCTGACTCCCTATATTTAGGTCTTTGATTCATTAAGGGTTAGTATTTGCATATGGTGCAAGGAAGGGTCCACATTCATTCTTTTGCATATGGATGTCTAGTTGTCTTCACACCACTTATTGGAAGGTCTATTCTTTCATCTGTTTTTCAATTGTTCTGGCTCTCTTGTCAAAAATCAATTGAACAAAAACATAAGATTTTATTTCTGGATTCTCAATTCTGCTCAATGGATTTGTGTGTCTAACACTACTAACATACTTCTATGGCTTTGCAGAAGGTTCTGGAGTTGGGAATTTGAGTCCTTTATATTCCTTTTTCAAGATTTCTTGTCTATTCTGGTTTTCTTCCATTTCTGTATGAATATCAAGATCGGCTTATCAATTTCTATAAAAGAGTCACCTGGAATTGCATACATAACTTTACAAATGTTTTAATTATAAATCTTAAAATATATACTTCCCATAAAAGGAAAAATCTTAGTTTTAAATTTCATACAGATTTATACTGGTAAGGTTTGTTGTAATGGCTTAGTATGAAAGAAATTGAATGTGGGATAGTTCTGTATCTAAATGCTTTCAGAGGTGGTGTACAAAAGGTGTAATTAACATTGTGGTAGCTCAGGAGGAAGTGATTGAGTCAGGTTAGTGAAGGAACAGTGGTACAAAAGTGGCAGATGTAGCATGGATATCTGGGGGATACTGTTATTTTAAGGAAATTGAATATTTGCCAGAACTGCATGATTTAGGGTTAATGAGTCAAAATAGGTAAATTATTAGATAACAAATCATTAGTCACTGATGTTTGCATGTTCACATTTTAAATATTGCTTTATCTGCTAACATATTTAATCAAACTATAGTACACATATCTAAGATATGAATAGCACATCAATGAATTCATGAATGTCAAATTTAAAAGAAATAATGTCTGAAGTACGACTAGTAGGAAAATCCCTAACTAGAAAAGCAAACATTGTCTCAAGACATTGTTAAATAGAAAAATAATTTTATCCCCTCACAATATTATGAACAGATGTTTTTGTGCACATGCTCTAAATACTTCAAAAAGTGCTCCAAAGAGCTAGTAGACTGGACTGTTTAAAACTAAAAGGCAGCCAGTGTCCATTTACTAATGCGTTCATTTTGTAGCCAAGGTTCAGAAATATTTAGCAGTTCCAGGGTTTTTGATGTCATATTGAGTGCTACATTAAAAAATCATTTAATTCATTTGTATATTCATTTCACTTATATATTGATACATATTTTTACTGGCACCCAATTTGATTCAATGCTTAACCAGGCACTGGAGAAAGAAGAGGGAGATAATTCTTGCTAATAGTTTTATTAGACTAGGAGCCTAATGAGATATCAAAACCAGGGCAAGTAATTATAATACAACCTGACAATGTTTATAATTGAACTATTCTTGTGCTGTGGGCTAAATGGAAGACAGGAGAGAGAGCTTCGTAGAAGAAGGGGCTTCTAGCCTGAGATGCAACAGAAAGTTATTGATAGGTAAGGGTGGGGACAGTACTCCAAAAGAGAACACTGCATGCACCCACACAGAGATGTGAGTGAATATTGGCATTTTTCAGGAAGCCACAAGAATTCACTGGGGCTGTGTTGGGCTTGATGGTGTAAAATGAACAGCAACTGGTAAATAGTGAGATTATGAACGATTTTCTGTGCCATACAAAGATTAAAATGTAATCTTGTGGAGGAGTCCAGTTTGAAAATTTCCACCGAGTTTACACAATCAGATTTGCTTGACAGATCCTGCTGTTGGTGGTGCAGAGGATGGGTCAGAAAGTAGTGAGACTAAAGGCAGGACGAATAGAAAAAAATGTAGGCTGTTGCAGTATAATGGGGTTAAGACACAATTGGGGCAAAATTAGAGCAACAGCCTCAGACGCAAAGAAGTAGAGACAAATGCGAGAGAGACTGCAAGGCAATGTCAATGAGACCCAGTGATGATCACATAGGGAGCATGAGGGGAATACAGATGTGAAGCAGTTAATTTATTGCAATGTTGCATTACTACAGCAGCCTGAACTAAGATATCTACTATGTTTTCAATTTTCTTACTCCTTATGAACCTAAAGGATGATGGCATATATCAACTGCATTTATAATATATAATTTAGATAGATTATCAGAAGAGATAGGATATTACATTATCCTTTTGGAGTTAAGGGAATGGCATGAAATGTGAAATTTGTATTTTCTGACCTTCCTTAAGCCAAATCAAGAGCCTGTCAATGCACCTGGATAAAGTGATTCATCGAGGCCAACTGAACCATGAAAGCATAATTGTCAGCATGGTGTCTTTACTTTGTTCTTTCTACATTTCACAATGCACATAAGGATTATTAGCTGAGAAGGGGAAGGTAGAAATGAGATGCAGAAATAAAAAGTGGAGACATGAACTCCTGCCTCATGACAGTTCCCATTCAGGGACAACTTCTAAGCTATGGGTGACATCCAAAAGAGTGTGTGGTTCTTATAGAGAATACTTCCTGGACTTCTGAGACATTGGAGTCACACATGATATGAACACATTAATTTTTATGCTTACTTTAGTAAAATATATAGTAAGACCTATGAGTAATTGGTCCCACTGATCCTACTCACTCACTGGCATTCCTATCTTTACAGGGTAATTTCTTTTGACTGACATTTCATAAGGAAACAAAAAATAACTTAAAAATACAAAGGAAGAAGGTATCCCAATCAGTGGTTAGAAATACTGCATAAAACAGTTAACGGGTCATTTACTCCGATATCTCATAGTCCTTTCCATGCTAGTGAGAGCTGGAATTGCCAACTACTTTGCATTCTCCATGAAGTATAGTTAAGCTGTGCCTTTATAGGGTTGGGACAAAACTACAAGTGTAAGGGTGATGAGCTGGAACACACATGTTTATTTTGCTTACTTATTCTTTTATGTGGTGGGAAGTGTGGCTGGAGTGCAAGGAATGAAAGCACAGGAGACTGCATGGAAGCGCAGTCTGCAGACAGGATGGCGTTAGTCACAGGATGTCTCTGGCAAGCTGAAGAATCCAGGTGGTGAGGATGCCAGTCCCCAGGAAATGTACACCTGGAAGTGAGGAGCCATGCCTTGAAGGGTACTATGCAAAACATTAGCCCATATGAACTTACAGCTGATATTCCACTTAGTAGTTGTTGTTAAAAATGAAGACAAGAGCAGGTCACAGAGATTTCCTCCAGATTTCATGTAAGTATATAATCTATCACCACACATTTCAAAATCACATGTAACTCTCATATGCTCTGTAATTGGTCAGAAATCATTATTAAGACCACGGAAGAAAAGAACACCACTGCTCAAAGACATTGGGAAGATGAGGCAGGCAGAAGAACCTTGACAGAAATGGCCCCTGCTCTACCTGTCTTTTGAATCAACACAAAACTTTTTCATTCTCATTTTCTCAGAGTCCAGTACAGAAACCTGTGCATGGGCACACAAACTCAAAGACACACTCACATACACACATACACACACACACACACACACACACACAAAACCACACAGTATCTCCCCCAAATAGCCACATTCTTTTATTCGATGATTTAATACATTTTTAATTCAAATAGTCACCACATAGCCTAGGCTCAATATTAAGCATTTTACAAGCAAAGTATTTTACCAATTTTCTTTTCATTTGCCGAAGAGTATAATAAGTGGACTGGTTGAAGGATATACTTCTGTACACAAAAATATCCATCAGTGTATGGAACAGAGTTTAAAGGTAATAAAACCCTAGCATCACAATAAATAGGATGTGTTCCCACAGCACAGCATGCTTTGTCAGGAAGTTGTCAAGTCTATTTTATCAAGGTGCTTTATGATCTTCTGAGCTAGGCTCATATTTCCTCCAGAAGGTTTAAGTTACTAATGAGTGAATCTGAATGTCTACTTTTCTTATGTCGCTTTTTATTTGCATCTCAACAGCAGGGTGAAAGATATGATAATTTAATTATGTTCAAAAGGTATCCATGACTTAACCAATTCTATTGATTTCCCACATCCATATTTTAGGTTAATCTAAGCTCTAGCACCATACAAGAAGAAAATACATGTATTTTGATATCATCTTTGTTCCTCTGGCTATAACAACTCCGTTTAGAAAAATTTAATAAGCTAAAAATAACTGATCTAGGTTGCCATAAAAAAAGAGTATTAAATACCTTTGGTAAAAATAGATATATTTAACAAGATTAGAAAAGCCAACAGTTATAATGTCAAAAGGAGAATATAAAAATGTACACAATAAAACACATGAACCAATTTATAAAGTGAAGATAAGGCCACTCTTCTTTTCAGGTTTGCCTCTTCCAAACCATGAATATAGTTCTCTTCTTTTACATGGCAGAAATTTTAATGAGAAGCATGGAAAATCCAGTCTTTCCTATCAGCATAAGACCAGTTTAATTCCTAGCAACATAGTTCCTCTTTAAAAACCAAGTTTATAGAACACAGAGCATTCTGACATAGCTATCTATCTATCTATATATATATATATGCAAATATAAGGGGAAAAAATCCAGATTTTCTGTGATTTTAGGCCCAGAACATGAAGCTTTAGAGTTAAGCAGGGCACCTCAGGTGTTCACTTTTACAGGTTCTTCTTGAACTGACATTAACCTAAGCCATACCAAGACACTCAAAATACAGAATGCAGGTAGTAGAAAAGGAACATGGCAGCTCTTAACTAGCTAGTGATCTAAAACATTTCACTTTTCCATGTTTGAAGACTTGTTCTCCTGTCTTTTGGGCCTCTTCTCAAAAGCTCTCTTGCATAATTCTTAACTCCATTTGGTGTCTTGTCTTTCAGAACACGCTGTGGATCCTAAAGATGGAAGGTCTTTGAAGCCAACAATCGAGGTTTTGGTTAGAGATAATGTGTAAGTTCTCTAAAACAACCAGCAGCTGCTGGACAGTCCTAGGGAAGGGATGGTGGTGAGGTGCAGCTAGCCTCCCACATTCCCTCGACACACGCAGTCACACTCCTCGTGGTGCTCCAGGGCCACGTCGGTGAGTGATTTATGCAGTCCCCTGACTCCAATTTTTGGCCTCAACTGAAGGACCTGTAAAGAAATATTGTAAGCCTCCTTGAAAAATCAATGTCTGTATATTTGATTTCATATCCAAGTAACAGAAAAGAACCTTGGGGCCTGACAGGAATGTACAAATTTTAATGTTTCCCAGTGAAGACATTAGGTAAACTTTTCCCCATCCCCCAAACCATATGCTCTCATCATTATTTCATAAATGAAAAGACACTTTAATGCCAACAATTTAGAAGCACACTATCACTTTTTTTTTTTACTTATGTAACTACACTAGACAGAATTTCACCTTAAGTATTATGGAGAGCCACTAATGCACAATTTGTTTTTATGTTTGTTAGCTTCTTCCTCTCATTCATTTATTCGCACACTGAGCAAATATTTACACTTCATGCAGTTCACTCAATTCAGGAATAGCGTGGCAAGAAACATGATCAGTCCACAGCTGAGTTTGCTCAATTATGCCACTCATTAATTTCTTGGCTACACTTCAAGTCCTCTATAAACTTGATGAGCTGGATTAGATGTACTTCATAGACATCAGCCTCAGTCACAGCTAACTTTGTGCAGCTGGATCCTACTGTGCAGTGCTAAGGAGGTTTGGCAATCGTAACAATAATGCCTCTATTAAATGAGAGCATTTGCAGTTAGTATTGCTGAGATTCTTAAGGGAAATATAGCAAAGAAGACACCCAAACTAAACATTTCCTGTAATACTGTGACAAAGGAATCTAGCTGTGTATTCTGTTAAAGATTTTTTGAAGTATGTGTGTGATCTGGTTACCTATTCAAGTACAGTTTATTTCTCATAGACATGATAAAGGTTCAAAATTGTGCTGTTTGCATTATGAATAGAGACCAAAGCATATATTAATATGAAATTGTCTAACTTCTCTGCTTTCTGTGTTTGACACAGACAACTTCATGAAACAACTTTGAAAAGCTAGCATTCTTGTAATCCACAAAGACTCAAGTCAAGTCTTATGACTGGTCTACTTGAAGACATAAAAAGAAAAACCAGAGAATGCACACCTCGTTTGGAGTATGTGGCTCTATCAGAGGTTAATTAGCTAACATTTTTGGAATACTTACTGGGTGCCAGGCACAAAAATAATGTTATTACATACTTTAATTCACAAGAATCCCATGAAGTAATTTATAATCATTACCCCTATTTTACACATGATTGAGCAAAGACTTAGACTAGAGATCATTTGTACCTAGGCCAAATAAGAATAATGAAAATTAGAACTTAGATAATAATTTTATAAAGACTCAAGACTTCTAATCATAGATTCTGCTTATTTAGCAGAGATAAACTTTAGTTATTTAGAGAGATAAACTTAAAAATCTTCTAATAACTATCAGAAATGGTAAACTTTTCAAATTGGTTTTCCCATTGATTACATTTCACAATTCTAGGACAAAAATTACTAAGATTATATTACTTTAATATAAAACTTAACCCAGTGAATACTGAATATCATTTCAGTACTGACTTACTGTTATTGAGTAAATGAGGTGGTATAAAACTGACTAAATTTAAGAGACCAGTTCTATTTCTTATTACACTCCTGCTATAAACTCTTTCTTGAACAAGGCTGAGTAAGGAAAACCCACAGTATTAGCATAGCCAGTGATAATTCCTATCTCTACCTCTATGTTTCCCATTCAGCAAGAACATACAGTATGTATGACAGGTAAAGTTAGAGAGGTTGTCATCTGCCATCCTAATAGTTAGCCTAGGCTGCATACCTTGTTTTCATCCTCATGCTCTACCAAGATGTGTTTGGGGAATAAAAGTCCCCGACATTGTGTGCTGATATTTGTAGAGATTTACAAATGACAGAATAATTTCATAATATTCTAGTACTTTTAAAGAACTGGATAACAAATACTTGTCCATGAAAGGAGATATTATTAATGTTTTCCCTTTTCATTATTTTTCAAAGTTGTAATTTTGGAAGACAGAATTAGGCTTGAAAAATGATAAGTAAGTCCCTGATAATATAAAAGAGGAAAATTTGGTTTTTAAAATGTCAATCATTATACCAGAGAATAAACAACAAAATGGTACAGCTCACAAAACTTTGAGGGGTGGTCCAGAGGGGTAAGTTAGGCCCTGAGCTGAACTCTGTTCTAGTTTGAAGAGGCTCATGTGCTAAACACTTAGTTCACAGTTAGTGGTGACATTTTGGGAGGTGATGGAAACTTTAGAAGATGGGGTCTACCTTCTGAGGAAGACAGGGGTTTGTCATTGGGAATATATTTTCCTCTAGTCCCTTCCTGTATCTTTCTCTCTGATTCTTGACTGCAATCATGTGAGCTGCTCTGCTCTACCACACCCTCCCCACTATGATGTAAGCCAAAATAAGTCTTTCTTCCTTTTAAGTTGTTTATGTCTGGCATTCTGTCACAGGAAAATTGATACCAAAATTTGTATCTGTTACTGTGACAGCCTGACGGTGTAGTTCAGAAGCCTTTACAATTGATTTGTGGAAGGAATTTAGAAATGTTTGAGATGTGAGCTACAGAAGCCTTTCAGTGCTATAAGTAGAGATTACTGGGTGATTCTGGTGAGAGCTCAGAAGACCAGGAATGTGGACAATGGAGGGTAGGCTCATGAGATCTCAGATGGAAATGAGGACTCTATAGGGAATTGGACTAGAGGCCATTCATGTTACACTATAACGAAGAACTTGTTTACATTTTGTCCATATCCTGAGACTTTGTGGGAGACTAACTTTAAAGGTAAAAGACTAAACTGACAGAGGAAATTTCAGTCTCCAGTGTAGCTTTGGGTGACAGGCACATGCCACTGCACTCAGCTATTGGTTCAGATGAAATCTCACTAACATGTTGCCCAGGCTTGCCTTCAACAGTGATCCTCTTGTTCTCTGCATCCCAAGTAGCTAGGATTACAGATTTGAGCCACTGGCACCCAGCTGATAAACTTGTTTTAAAAAGTGTTAAGTCTGGCTTTTATAGCTCTTAGAACAGGGGTCATGAATGCAAGACTTGCTGGCTAAATCAGATACCCAAATCCACTCTGTTTACCAAGTACCTACCTTAAGCAAATAGAAAGTTCAATCATTTTAGGTGGGAAAAGATCAGTGTAGTTCATGATTAAACTCCTTTTATGTCATACTGGGTGACTCTAACATCTGACCAGCCTTTGGGGCATTTTCATTTTAATACTGTCTTGAGAACTACCACACCAAATTTTTCTTCCTGATTAGATCCCAGCTGATGGGGTGGCAGTGAGGCTGGGGCTGTGGGAATTCACTGTGATCATCATAACCGACTGTCTGCCTGAACCTGGAGTAGAGGTTTCGTTCTCAACACAGGGACCTTCAGAAGCAGGTAGTGTGGACATTAATGTAGAACATGATTAATGACAGTAAATAGCTCCATTTTTTTAATACTCAAAAAGACTCCCATCCAGTAACGATCATGGAATAAGACAGCTAGGAAAAATTTGAGATATTATATTTTACAGAGTCTATGTATCCTGATGACAGTTACAGTCAGATCATGATAGAACTTAGATGGAAACAGAGTCCACTGTCTTTTGGAATACACTGCTCTCCCCTCCCTGACTCTCCCATCCACGATCACAGCATCAGTGAAGGGCAGAAAGACCATGTAATAAAAAGTGCAGTTTGTGAAACTGAAATGTATAAATTATCTAAAATCCAAGGATTTCACTGATGTCTTTACATACATGAAAAATCATTTTTACTAAGCACATATTTGTATTGTTTTATGTGGTACAAAAATTAAAAATAATGAAAGAAAGTCATATGGAAGTGAATTTAGGAATCTTCCTTGAGGAAGGATCATGTCGATACATTTAAACTACCTGGTGCTGCCAGAGAATGTGGGATACGACTGAGAATAATGCAGCACACATAAAAATTGTTATACTTTTTGTTTTGAGATGAGGGGCTTAAACTCTTGGGCCTAAGTGATCCTTTTTTTTCAGTCTCCTAGCAGTTGGGACTGCAAGGATGAACCATCACGCCCAACTCCAATAAAGAAAGGTTTGAGTGTGTAAATTCTTTGGTTCCCAAGGCTCTAAAAAAGTAATGACTACTGACATTTCATTTTATATTTTCTCTGATTCCAGAGAAAAAAAGGTGAGAGGGTGAAGAATCCAAAAAACACTGAACATGCTGTTTGATATGAACGATACCAAGATGGGCATAATTGTGAATATGCACTTTTGGGGTTTATGTGTCCATATTGGGCCAGATATAAAAACAAATGTCAAAGATCCCTTTTCTCTAAATAGACACTGCTTTATCTTTAAGCATGTCTTTATGATATTTTCCTGTCATATTTTGAATAGTTTGAATGTTGAAGAGTTTTACTTATTTTCCTCTCTACCTAAAATTTCCCTTTGAAAGAGAAGTAAAAGCATCACTGATCAGTATGGTATGCTATCAGAGACTGAGCTTCCTACATCTTTAATGTCTGCATTTTAAAACTAAAGGCTCTCATTTTAAAAAAGTGGAAACACAAACGATTTATAAACCCTGCTTATTTCCCCCAAGAATGCTGTATCTTTCCAAACAAATCCATTTCACATTCATTGTTTTTCTGTCAGACCCAAGCAGCTAAGGAAAACAGGTAGACAGTGGTTACCTACCTCATGGTACTTTTTAGTGACTTTGCTGGGGACACATTGACACTCATTGCAGCTGTGCAGACAGCAGGCACAATTTCCTCCACAGCGCTTAACCAGGAGACAACCTGGCCAGAAAATGGTATCTGTTCTCTTTAGCTCTTCCCTTATGGACACTGAGAAGTTACGAGGTGTGCAGCTGTACAATCTTACCTCCTCCTTTAGAAGGTTCAGGTCTACCACTACATGGCATAAAAAAGCAAAGAAAAAATAAGATGTTTGTGTTTTGAGCAAGAATCATTTTATTAAGCTCTTTTCATAAGGAATGCTAGTTCTTTCATGAACAATAACCCAAACAATATTCCTTCTTATTTTAACTATATTGTAAGGCTCTAAAAACTCACAAATTGGACTTTCTATTTCCTAGTAAACAAAGCTTCATTATGACTTAGTGACCAATAAAGAGATGTCATTGTGCAATATTAAGATCAGAGCCAACAAAACAGTTGAGAACTATAATAGGAAACTTTATAGCGAGAATAGAGCTACACCTTTTAACCTTAGTAAAAAAGCAGACAAGGAGAGCACTGGAGTGAAGAATAAAATGTAAGACTGAATGCTTTGGTTAAAACGTAAACATAATTTTTTTAAAGGATTACAGGTCCATACAATTAATGAAGAGCAACTTATTAAAACACGTTAGCAGGACTTCTTATAATCTTTATGGCTATAAAGATCATAAAATATAAAAAAAATGAAGAAAATGTATTTTTAAAGAAAGCTAAGTAGATCCTAAGTGAGAAAACTGATGCATTTTATAAGAGAGAGATGTTAGAAAGCACTGTTTCAAATGTATTAGGAATTTTTAAATCCCTAAAATTTCTATTTATAAATTTTGCCTAAATAGATCCCTTCAAATTTACTGTTCCCCTGGTAACAGATGGAAGAAGTGTCTGGTTTTAACCACTGTCTCTATCCTTTTTAGCAAGCTGGTTAACTATGCTGCATTTCTTTTTTAAAAGAATACATACTTGTGAAGACCAAACAAAATATCCTTTCATCAGATGGGTGTAGAAAATCCTCAAAGAACCATTGTTGTTAACTTCAAAATGATACTATCGCAGGAAAATCACAACAAAATAGCTTCATGTTTATTATGAATTTATACATAACACACAGATAGTAGTTAATTATTGGGGCTAATGTTTCTAATATAATTTTAATTTCTGCTTTTTGGCTCTGCCTGCTTTTTTTCCCCTTAGAAATAGTCAAATAAAGCAATTCCAATGAAATTTAAGTACCTCAATCAGATCACATATATTCCTTCAGGGTTCTTTTGCTTTTCTCTCAAAGTTTTTCTTTTAAAAATTTAGGAAAATTATCTAAAACATAGTGAATTCAGTTAATATCTTTACACTACTATTCAAACTAGTATAAACAAATTGAAAGAATTTTCTGGGTTAAAGATGACTTTAAATAATAATCATTATGAAAATCCAATTGTAAAAATCAACCATTACTATTTTATAACTTTAAAATGTGAAGCCCATTAAGAATCAAATGCTTGTTTCCTTGGCTTTGTTATACTTACATATGTGATATTTTCTGAATTGTCAAATGGGGACATTTTTCATATTTTTCAGAAATATGTTATACAACTAATCATATATAATTGTAAACTATAAATATGTCAACTATATGATCAAAACACTAGATGAAATATAAGAAAGCACCAAGGTAAGGCTAAATCAATGGATCCATTTCAACAATGTAGTTAGCTGAAAAATTTGCTTCCAACTCCATCAAAATCACAGTTTTAACACTCAATGATGTCCTTTTTTCTGAAAATGTTCTTGTGAAATATCTCAAAGAAAATGAGTTCACTCTTTCAGATATTCCGTAAAGAGTATGTATCTGTAGCAAAATTAATGGGATGATGTCACATATTTTACTTAAACTTCATTTTGCTAAATTAACAGCATATATGTACATTTCTATTTGAGTGATAAAGTCATATATGATTTTTCTTAGATCTTTTCTGTAGAACATAATATCTGGATGAGAAGGGAGAAAACTTATGCACAAACACAATAGCTGGTTGCCACAATTTTCAATGCCTACTTAAGATTTATATATCTTCACAAAGTGAATGAAGCGCTTAGCTTTCAAAGGATATTCACCCACCCCAGTTTAAACACCCTATTTCAAGAAACTAGAAAAAGAGAGTGCACATGTTCTCTTTAAAGTGTTTACTTAACCACAATAAAGGCCAGATAGATTTCCCAAGTGAACTACGTTCTGATACCTACTACAATGTGAAAATTTAAACACGCTTTCAACTTAACTCCACTCATTTATCATGTTTGACACAGAAGTCAAAAGCCCCCCTCTTTTTTAGTACTAGTTAAGCCTGACTTAGAAAGTACATTATTTTCTTTTTTCTGCAGTAGCAACATATGAAAGAAAACTTTGAGCCAGAGGAAGAAACAGAAAGAAAAGAAGCTGAAACACATGGCTGCAGACCATACTGGGCTGAAAAGACAATTAAGGAATTTAAATTGCACATCATCTTTTAAAGTCATGCTTCCTACTCCTAAGGCTTCAAACTCATATAAGCCTTATTAAAACAAGTTATGGGACCATAATCTTGTATCAGAAAATCTCCATATATTCTGCAGAATTTCCAGGAGTAAAGAAAAGAAAGAGACAAGGAAGGAAGGAAAGAAGGAAGGAAGGAAGGAAAGATGGAAGGAGGGAGGGAAGAATAGAAAAAAAGGACATTATGCCTGAAGGCATATTTTTAATAGCTTAACTACAGTATTAAGGCAGTTTGCTTCCATAAAATGTTTGTGAAGTAAAATCCAGCCTCGGATTCTTTTTATTTTTCCTAATTACATCCTGAGATAGTACATGTGCTAGTTTGCCTTTTTAAAGAATAAAGATTGAAACATCACCAATCAAAGTCATTGTGATCTTATTACTAATTTCATCAACACTGTGATGCTTACCAAGAAAGATAATACTGACACAAAATTATGGCCACATTTTACTTTGTTAGTTGTTCATTCTTTTAAGATATGCAATCCAAGGATATTGTATTACCATAATGCAGTCTGAGGGTGGTCTTTCTAAAATGAATGTGGTAACATTGTGATATGTTTATTCTACGGAAAATCTATTTTCATGTCTAATTAGAAGCTTTTAAAAGTTTTACTCCTTGTTCCTTTGTGAGGGGAGTTGGTTTTGTCTATATAGATGTTATCCCACACCTGCATTTTAGTTTATGTAAAGTTCCAAAAATATACACTGCTTTTCTCACACTTACTGTGTGCTTAAAAAGTTAATAGTTTTTGGCAAAATGCTAAGGGCTTCAATTTTGAAGGTGTTAAATGAATACTTGAAAGATATGGTTCAGAGTTGGATGCTTTTAAATACATGCTAGCCTCTGGCCAAATTTTTGAGCAGCAGGCATACAGATTCAGCATAAAAGCAAGGCTAGAAAGGAGGATTTTAGGCTGGAATCCAGAAATCAGATGTCTAAAACTTAGATCTGAGCTTAGAACCCATTTCACTCCCTGCTTCTCACATGATAATCTACTTCGCATTTGCTAACAAGGGCCCTATTCATGGGTGTTTCAGCTACTCCTGCAGATCTGCATCTTCCTGTTCCTAAGTGGGAGGGCAGGGAAGTGCTGCTGGTATGTTAGCCATCAAGTTATTCATCATCAAGGACGAATCTTATAAATATGTAACAGTGTTCAACATCTGGACAGGATTCGGCTGCTCATCCACTTGAACACAGATTTCAAATTTTGCCAAAAGGAAACCACGTCTGTTGGCACAGAAAAATACCACAATTGGGCAAGTCTGAACATGACCCTGCTGAGATGCTCATGATCCAACAAGGCTGCAAATCAGCGTAAGAAAGGGCGGGAATCAGATTTCTTTCTGTCAAGATTTAGAACAAGTCTGCTGCAATTTGCCTCTGTGAATGGCTCAAAGTACCTACACTTTGTTCCTTCTTCCACATAAATTCTCCAGACTGTCACTCCATTTTCTAAAGTGACTCTTGGACGGATTTCAATGTTTCTGACAGACTGAAACAGATTTTTTGAATGCATTATAATTATAATTATCCAGTTACTTCATTACATTTTCATTTGTGTCTGATATGGATGCATCCCAATTCTAACGTTATTAGGAAATTTTGCTAATCTTATAGAGAACTCAGTTAACATTATTTCTACTTTTTTGATGATGTGGAATGAGGTTTAGTTATCAGCACTTTCATTCTCACAAGGTGATCTGCCCATTTGGTCAAAATGATCATTTCTAAAGCAAATTTACACAGAAAAAAAAAAATCTCATGGTGTGCTTTCCTTTAAATTATTGATTTCTTGCTATGAGTCCTACCTTGGAAACTTCTAATCATATTTTATGTTGGTCCATTGCTACTTTCCATATATTATTATTGCTCAGGCAATGTAAATGGATATAACCCTGACCTGAGGAGATATAATAATGATTTTTATAGAGTATTCCCCTTTTGTAGACCTGGCTTTGCAGCTACAATTATTTCTTTTGAATCTTGAAATAATGTGCTCCAAATGTAGACTGTAGTAAGCAATGATTCTTGTGAAAAGGAATGGGCTACTTCATCAGAATGATATTTTAGAAGATAAGAAATGACAGGAATTTTTAGCAGACATATCTCTTGTAATTTTCCAAACCTGGGTTATAATTGATTCTTTAGATCAATATTCTTATTTAATAAGTAATTCTGCTCTGCTATAATTTTCCAAACCTGGGTTATAATTGATTCCTTCAACCTATATTTTTCTTTAATAAGTAATTCTGTTTAAATGATAAGAAAATGGATTTTTTGAATGTTAAACTCTCCCTTTAAGGATCTGAAACATTAGCTGCTAAGAAAGTTAATGATGTTCTAATCTATACAGGGAACTTACCTCTGGATTTTCTTCCAAAAACAAAAGCCTTGCCAAGGAGTTGCCAGGTTGGCCTATACAGATCTTCCAAGTCCAGCTGCCATCTATCAGGCTCGAGGTACCGAATAAGATCTTCCAAGGTACTAAAGGCAGTAACAGCGTTATTAAGCAGGTCCAGTGGCAAAGCTGAAGGGGGCAGTACTGAAGGGCTCACAGCTTCTGTGACTTGCTGAAAGTAAAACAGATTCTCTGTTAAATGCTTTAAAAATGACAATGTACTCCTCCAGTTATTCACCAAGTTATGGAGACTAAGGCTGAAAACACATGGGAATTGAAGCAACATTTAATCCAAGTTAGAAGTAGTTACTTTGCAAAGACTTCATACAGCTGGATTCTGATAGATGTTCTAAAGAACAAGAAAGATACCAGTTTCTATTACAGTAAATCATGGTGGATATCTTTCACTTACATAAAGAATTGAAAATACCTCAACCGTTCAATTATAGACTTAAGAAGGAAGCAATAATGCAGTTTGCTAACTTTTATTTTGTTTTCCATTTTTGCCAACTTAGAAAATAGCCTGGTACCTATATAAGTTCATGACATATGAGTTAAAAGTTTAATATAGGGTAGGGCTTGATGATACATGCCTGTAATCCGATATGTAGGTGGCAGAGATAAGAAGATCATGGTTAGAAGCAATAAGGGCAAAAGTTTGTGAGACCCTGTCTCAACAAACAAAGTTGGCGTGGTGGTAAACGTCTATAATTTGAGCTACACAGAGGCAGAGGTAGGAGGATCACTGTCCAAGGCCAGCCTGGGCAAAAATGTAAAACCCAACTTGAAAAGTAAACTAAAGTGAAAAGGGCTAGGGTCATGACTTAAGTAGTAGAGTGCTTACATAGAAAGAAAGTGTGAGGCTCTGAGAACAAAATGTAGGTAAAAAATCTTTGACACTGGAAAGGAACTTGTTAATCAAGATAGAAAACACCCACATCATGAGATCAGCCTAAAAAATTTGCTTACAGTATATCTTAACATAAAAATTTAACAAACAAGATTTAGAACATGAGGCACATTGGGAGAGCAACTTGACAAACTATATGGTTGTCACAGGATTAGTATCCAGAATATATATATATAAAAATTCATATGAAACAAAGCGAGACTTATTTCACGTATAAAAGGGTAATAATATTTCATGTAAATGAGATTAGAAGAACTCAGAAATGGATTGCTGAGGTGGTGAGGAACCAAATCTGCTTGCAGAGTGAGGGTGATACTGTCCTATCATTGCTCTCACTCAGGACTCGGGGTACAGTGAGCTATACATTATCCTATCATTCTTTCAAACAAAGCACTGGAAGCAACCTACATGCCCATGTATGGGGGGCTGGATTTAAACATCATCAAACTAAATAGCAAGTAACAAAATATGACAGTGATTTCAATAAAGGTGGGAAAAATTTACTAGTCTTTATCTGGAGTGTTTAAAAATCGGTAACAATCACCCTTCTTCTCAATTGTTAATGTGAACCACATGTGGGGAATAGCAGATTAGAGTTAAAATTGAAACAGGCAAAAATATATACATGAACAAGGCACCTTATCAATAAAAACAAAGCCATTTATTTAAATAAATAAGGGAAGAAGAGTATAAATAAAGCATTTATGTTGATTGATGTTCCTTTATAGTAGCATTTATAAGAACAAAAAGCTGGGGAAATATAAATTTGTAATAATGAAATAGCTTATTTTATACTGCATCAAAAATGGAACAGTAGGCTGTTATTCAAAATTATTAACAAGAGATGATGAAAAAGCAAGCTACATAAAAATTTTAATATCTCATGATTCCAATAGGCACACACTGAAACACAACAAAAAATTAAAAGTGCCTTTAACAGTTGAGAGAGCTCCTTTATGGCTTAAATGGGAATGGATCATTTTCATTCTTATCCATATCCCAATTTTTTTTCCAACAGTTTCTATAATAACCATGGTTTTCTTTTGGAAATCAGATGAAAACAATGACATTTATTATCATAAAACTCATCACAGCAGCTCTTCCTTCTCATTCTCATTACTGGGCTCCTAGACGGGAAACTAAAATGCACACGCCTATGTTCCTGCTTCCAACCTTGTCTCCTCGCTTTCACTCTTTGCTCTTCTACTCTGCGCTGCAAAACCTCGGGTTAATCTAAATTAAGACATCACTGACCTTATGATGAATGTGGATAAATGCCTGTGGGCTTTCTCATCTGGAAGATGAAATCCAAATTCCTTACCCGGCATCCTGGCCCCCACAATCTCACCTCCGCTTACCTTCCCATCTAATCCCCTACTCATCGGAGACATGCACATTTTGTTCCCATCAATCCAGACTCTTCACTAACTACCACACATGTCATATTCATCAAATTTGTGCCTCCACCTATGCTAAGTGCTGCCCTCATCCCCCATGTGCAAAACTCTCTCCCTCCCGTTGATCCACATAATAAATCTTTACCATTTATAATGGTCTTTTAAAATACCATTCATCCATGAAGCCATCCACAACAGCAGGGTCATTGCTGTACCGCTTATCTCAGCTGTGGCCATTTGAAAACAACTCTGTGCATTGCCTATGGGCACCTGGCTTGAGGAGCAGAATCTGCTCTGTAAGCTGAAAAAAGGAGCCCCTTCTTGTGGGCAGGGAAAGCCCTTGCTGGGACTCAGTGCTTTGTGGGTACAGCAGTAATACCCATGGCCACCACCACCAAGGGATGTTCTAAGAGAGCATGATCAGCTGAAATGTATGTGGCTGCCTTGGGCCAACAATGATTTCATTCTTATTTTAAAGGTCTAATTTCAATAATGTCTAGGATCTGGCTAAAATAGATCTTTTCCAATGATTTTGTTCATTTGCTCCACCAGTTAGATTGTTGAACTAAATTTAATGTTTTTATTTACTCAATGATTTCTTTTTTTTTTTTTTGTAATTGTCCATGGAACACAAACTTGCTTTGGTAGAGAGTATAAAATGATTTATTGCAAACGTAAATAATCAACAACCTAACAAAAGTTTTCATTTTCAGTTTAATCAACTGGTTTATATCTATTAGATATAGAATATGAAAAGGTTAATGCAATATTTTTTTGCAAATTTTTAAAATCTAAGACAAAATGTATATATTTTTAGGAAGTAACAGTTAAGAGGTCAGTACTTCTTGAATGATAACTGAACATTTCTTATGATAATGATGACATAAAGTATACAGAAACTTTACAGTCTATACACAGAAAGAAAATGGCTGCTACAAGAATCATACAAAAAGTATACATTATCAATAAAGGTGTCAGATTGCAGATGTATGTTTTAGGCATTAAATAATTTTTTTAGCCTATATGTAGTTATCCTATTATCCAGCAATGAGTTGGTTTGGTTTGTTTCCAAGTCTGAATAGTTTTCCTTTTGAGGCAATAAAACAATACAACTAGATCAATACTGTGGAGATAAAGTCCACAATGTTAATATAAAAGAAAGAAACAAAAAATACTTCTAATCTTGGGTTCAATGAAGTATCAGTCTATCAGTTCCCTCAAGGTAAGGAAAGGCATGTTGCATACATACATATGCATGTATATATCTGTTGATGTGAAAACCTCCAACTTTTAAATATTTAGATTAAAATAAGTTAAAATTTAAAAGATGTTCCACCAATCTCTTCTCCCACCAAACAAACAAACAACCAGTAAGGAGAATTAGCACCACTGCCCCCAGACAAAAAAGAAGTGATCCTCAGGCAGGACAGAGGAAGTGGTGCTTCTATGTAATTGTCTTCAGGGGACTGTCACCACCCATGGGTTCAAGAAACAGTCAAGCCCTTAATTCTGCAAGTTCTGCTTTTCCAAGTGGGTTATAGGGACTAGGTGTGGGAGTGTGGTGGGGGCAATGGAAAAAAGTCAGAGGAAAAAGTGCACTGTAATTTTTAAAGTTTTTATTTTCCTTTTACAAAATGTTACTGTTTAGTACAGACTAACAGCTTCTCCCCTCCATATAGTGCATAGAAAATTCTAAGAAAACTTTGATAATTAAGATAACTTTTTAATTAGGATGCTAAGTCACTAAGCATATGCATTGAGTTGGATTTTCATATTCCCTACTTCCTATTTCTTTTAAGTTATGAGTTCCTTTCAGACAATTTAGTGGATGACAATGTACAACACTGGAAAGCAGAGTTTCCTCTTGTTCTATGATATGAATGACAAAAAAACATGTCATGTCAGTAAGCCAGAGAACAGTGCTTCTGCTCTTTGACCTCAGCAGCGGTGACACCAAGTGGTGATCTTTCCCCTAAGTCCTTTCAAGTGTATTACTTTGTAAGGATACATCATCCAAGAGCAGAAAAGAGACTTGATACATTCATGCAATGAAGTATTCTGTCAAACAATGCATTTCTAAAGTACGTGGGGTTTTTCTTATACAGAAGGAAGTCTTTTACATTCTAAGGATAAGCTGCTCTGAAAGCTAACATGAGATATGCAAAGAGCTCTGATCAGAAGGCAAGGAGCCTGAATCCACATTCTGCAGCTGGTTGCATTTAGGAAAGAGACGGGTCAACACTGTAACCTCACTGTGCCTCAATTTTCTCCTCTGTAAAACACAGCACCTCAGTTAAGTGACTTTCTATTTTCTTTTCAATATTTATTTATTTACATGACCTTTTTTACACTCCTGTCTTTTTAAGTTTTAAGTGTGAAGATCTGTATGTCAGATATGAGAGGGTCCAACGCAGATTCAACAGAATTACAGGGTACTACATAGTAAGATTGTGATGATGCTTAGTGTTTTCTCATTCTCTCTCTCTATTTGTGTGTTTTTCCTCTTTTCAGTCTTCTCTATTGCATTAGATTATTAGGAGTGTTGGGAAACACTGCCCTAGAGTATAACTAACAGTTCATATAGCTGTATGTTGAGCACATTCAAGTTTACTCTGCCCTTGAAAAATTCAAATATCTTAGAAAGGCATTTCTAGTTTGTGACTAGAATCTGTGTGATCTTAAAAGCCAGAAGGAAAAAAGTCCCTGCTTAGAGAATTAATATAAAAAACATTCATATGTATACAGATACACCCTGTGTTCTAGGATGAACTGTACCCACCCACAATTCCCATATATAAGTCCCAGTCCCACCCCCAATCTCAGAATCTGCCTGTATTTGGAGATTGAGTCTTAAAAGAAATTAAG